TCCCCGTCTCCCTGCCTCCCTCGCCCTGCTTCTCCCCTTCCCTGCCTCCTTCCGTGCGGGCCCCCGCCCAGGGGCCAGGCGTACCCTGAGATCCGACGCTGCCCAAAAATACAACATTGCATAATTTCTGCAATGTTGCAAATTGTTTGGCAACCTCTGCAATTTGTGTTGCAATGTTGCACATGTTTTGCAATGTTGCAATGCTGATTTCAATCATGCCCGGAGCCCTGGAGCCCATCTTTCTGCGTCATTTCTCGAGCCCGATCGCTCCGTGAGGGTCGCCGGGCCCGAAAAAATTGCGACGCCAGGGTCTCAGGGTACGCTGCTCTTCTGCTCGCCTTTGCCTTCTCTTCTGCTCCCTCCGCCTCCTCTCCTTTCCCCCTCGCTTGGCCGCTGCTCTCCTCCTCGTTGCGTAACCTCTACATGTCGACACCCCGCAGACACGCAGAGGGCGTGCGTGGCGACGGCGCGTCGCCACGCAGAGGTTCGTAACACCAAACATTATAAAACCAATTGTTTCCACTTCGTAAATGCTACGAGGCCCAGGCCCCCCGGAACAGCTGGACCGGTCGCTTTCGGGGGGCCCGGGCTACCCAGCCATGCCCAGCTTTAAGTCGGGCGTGTCCCTCTACAGCAGGAATATTCAAAAATAGTCAAAAATAGGAGACTATTGTTTGAGTATTTTTCTATCATTGTTGAGTATTTTGTGAGTATTTTGAGTTTTTCCTCGAAAATCCTCCTGCAGGGAGACAGGCCCGTCTTAAGCCCAGCCTGCGCCGGCAGCCCACCAGCGAGCGAGCCCCGCGAGGGCGGGTGCGCCGGAGGGAGCACGAGGCCTCGGCCACGCCCACGCCCATCGCGCGGCGGCTGACCCTCGGCCGACGGAGCAGCCGGGGTCCCGAGGGAGATGGGTCCTGAGGCCTGTCGCCGTTCTCGTCTCCGCCAGCCCCTCCCCATGGACCCATATCTCTCTATCTATCTATATAGATGTATTTATACATATATATGTGTGTATATATATGTATGTCAGTATGTCCGAAAACCACTGATGTGTTGTTTCTTTGGAACCCTCTCAGGTTTTGTTGTTCTTGTTCTTGGGATGCTTTGAAACCCTCACAGGGCGCGTGGACCCAAGACGTTTTATGTTTGTTTTGACAGTATGGATTTCTGCTTGTTTTTGATTGTATGGATTTCTTATTGTTTTGATTGTATGGGTTTCTGCTGATTTTTGATTGTATGGGTGTCTTACTGTTTTTGATTGTATGGATTTCTCATTGTTTCTGATTGTGTGGTCTCCTTATCGTTTTTGATTGTATGGATTTCGTATGTTTTATTGCCTAGATTTATTATTGTTTTGATGGTATGGGTTTCTGACTGCTTTTGATTGTGCGTTTTTTATGGTTTTAACTTGTATGGATGTCTTATTGTTTTTGATTGTACGTAGGTCTTACTGTGAAGATTTCTCGGAGGAGAAGTGTGCTGAGGACGAGGACAGGGATGAGGACGAGAATGAACATGAGGAGGAACAGGATGATGATGATGGTGACCACCACGATGATGAGGATGATGGTGAGGATGATGAGGATTATCCTCATCATCATCGTGGTCACCATCATCGTCATCCTGTTCCTCCTCATGTTCAGTCTCGTCCTCATCCCTCTCCTCTTCCTCATCACGCTTCTCCTCCGCGCAATCACCACAGTAAGACATACGTACAATACAAAACAATAAGAATTCCGGACAATCAAAACATTAAAACGTACAATCAACAACAATAAGAAATCCATACAATCAGAAATAATGAGAACTCCTCACAATCAAAAACATCCAGAAACCCATACAATCAAGCACATAAATAATCCAGGCAAGCAACAACAAAAAGGAACACCATACAATCAAACACGATAAGAAAATCACACAATCAAAAGCGATAACAAATCCATGCACTCAAAAATAGTAAGATATCCGTACAATCAAAAACATTCAGAAACCCATACAAATAAAACAACAAGAGTTCCATCCAATCCAAAACAACAAGAAATCCAGATAATCTAAAGCAATACGAAAATGTCTTGGGTCCACCAACCCTGTGAGGCTTCCAGACAAACACCTGCGAGGATTCCAAAGAAACAACAAATCAATGGTTCTCGGGACCTCAGGCTGCCTGGGTGGATCTGGGCTTTGGGGGCCCTGAGGAAGCCCGAAGTCCCGAAACCCGTTATTGGTTTGTTTTTTGTGGGGAACATCACAGTTTGTTGTTTGTGTGGTTATCGTATCGTTTTTGATTGCATGGATTTCTCATTGTTTTTGATTGTGCAGATGTCTTGTTGTTTTGATTGAGCGGAGGAGGGGAGATGAGGAGGAGGAGAAGATGAAGACGAGATGCTGATGATAATGATGATGATGCTGATGATGCTGATGATGCTGATGATGATGATGATGATGATGATGATGATGATGATGACCTTAAACCTCACCCTTTCACACAGGCCACCTACTCAAAGATACCACCCTTGCTGCCCCCCCCCCAGGGGACCTCGCGGGGGCTTCGGTGGCCTTCCGCTGCCTTCGACAGCCTTCGGAGGCTTTCGGCGGCGGCCGTCGTCGTGGCTGCGTCGTCGTCCCCAGGCCGCCGACGTGGTGAGTTTTTCACACGCGGCCTCGTCTCTGGGGGCCGGCTCTTCATCTTGAGGGCTCCTCGGAACGGGCTTCCCGAGGCCCGTATTGAGGCAGGACAGTCCGTGATGACTTTGCCCAAGACGTTCAAGGTCTGGGTTCCAGGGCTCGAGGGCAGCCCCTAGATCTGTCCTGGGGTGCGTTCTGACCACCAGGTCGCTGGGGAGTGGAGCCGTGGGGGCGAGGGTGCCCCAGCATGTCCACCAGGGGCCCCCCCCGCAAAGGCGCGCGAACGCCCCAGGGGTCCGTTCCCGGTCCCGTTCCCGTTTCCGTTCCCGTTCTCGTTCCCGTTCCCGCCGCCCGTGCCACTTCCAGAGGATAGAAGGGGAGGAGGGAGGGAGGGAGAAGGGATGATGGAGGAGGAGGGAGGGAGGGACGGAGGGAGGGAGGAGGGAGGGGAGGAGGAGAGAGAAGGAGGGAGGGAGGGAGGAGGAGGAGGAGAATGAGGAGGGAGGGAGGAGTGAGGAGGAGGAGGAGGAGGAGGAGGAGGAGAGAAGGGAGGGAGGAGCGAAGAGGGAGGAGGAGAGACAAGGAGGGAGGGAGGGAGGAGTGAGGAGGAGAAAGGGAGGAGGAGGGAGGGACGGAGGGAGGGAGGGACGGAGGGAGGAGGAGAGAGAAGGAGGGAGGGAGGAGGAGTGAAGAGGAGGGAGGAGGGAGAGGAGGGAGGGAGGGAGGAGGGAGGAGGAGGGAGAAGGAGGGAGGGAGGGAGGAGGGAGGAGGTGGGAGAAGGAAGGAGGGAGGGAGGAACGAGGAGGAGGGAGGGAGGAGGGAGGGAGGGAGGAGGGAGGGAGGGAGGAGGGAGGAAGAGGAAGAAGAGGAGGAGGAGGAAGAAGAGGAGGAGGACGATGAGGGAGGAGGGAGGAGGGAGGAGGAGGGAGAAGAGGAGGAGGAGGAGGAGGAGGACGAAGAGGAGGAGGAGGAAGAAGAGGAGGACGAATAAAAAGAAGAGGAACGCGGGAGACGGCCAATATTGCCTTCAAGACGGATAAGTTTGCCTCCAAGATGGCCCAAGACACGTAAGAGATGGCATTCCAGACTGCTGAGATGTTTCAGTATGGCCTCAAGGACGGCCAGCATGGCCTCCAGGACGGGCTCAAGATGGCCACACTTCGGCTGGGGGAGCACAAGGTCCAACACCTTGGCCAAACTTTGCCCCAACGCTTGGCCGCATAGGCGTTTCTAAAAGGCAAGGGGCGGCGATGATTCGCCGTAGGCGTCTGACAGATACCTTCCGAGACCGCCAGAGAACTCCCAGGAGACCCCCAAGATATCCCCCCTGACGTTCCCAAGAAGCTCCCAAATGGCCCCAAGAAACCTGAAACATGCTTCTAAGAGGCCCCCGCGAGGCCTCTCAGGAGAGCCCAACAAGCCTCCAAGCGTCCGCGGCCTTTCTGGGGCCTCCCTTTTGAATCCCCTTTTCAGGGTGGAATGGACCTGCAATTATTGATGTTCTTATGGTTTTTGCAAGATTTGGCGATATGCGGTGTTTCGATCTCGGTCCCAGGGACCCCCTGGACGCGAGAGAAAGAGAGAGAGAGAGAGAGAGAGAGAGCGGGAGGGGGAGAGAGAGAGAGAGAGAGAGCGGGAACGGGAACAGGAACGGGAACGGGAACGAACCCCTGGGGCGTTCACTTTTTTATGGGCCCCCCCCCAGCCACAAACCTTCACGCTTCATCTCCGAGCTTCGGCTGCCCGTCGCCGCCGCCGCCCTGGGGCGCGCTGTGGTGGGGGCATTGGGGGGGAGTCGGAGAGCTCAGCCGTGGCGGCGAGGGCGCAACTGGCCCCCATGAGCGACAATTTCCAGACACTGAGGAAATGGATGAATCGTTCCAGAGAGTTCTTCGGCGACTGCACAGGGTGTGGTTACGGTAGGTTGGCGCCGCGTGGACGCCGCGGCGACCCCGGCGAGGGCGTTCAGGGTTAAGCGCTGCCAGTGGCCCTGAATCGGCCGACGTCGAGCGATCTGCGATATCAGGTAGCCGCGATCGTTCACGGTTGAAGGATCCTGTCGGCGTCAGAAGCCAAGCGACATCGCGACGCGAGCCAGCCGTACGCCAGGGTGTGGTCTGCGATCCCCGTCGTTGGGGTTTGGGGGGCACCACCTTGCCCCGGTCGGGCCTCCTCGGGGCGTGGCGGAGCACTTTCGAGGTCCCCGCCCGCCCCCCGGGGTGCGCGTTGCAAACCACACCCTTTGGAAACCACACCCGTCGGAGCCGCTGGACCTCAGAGACACCCCGATTCATCCCGATCCGATTTTGTCACGATCCTGCCTTCGTTCTAGTCGGGACGTCGAGACGCCACAGTCGTCGCCGCCGCCCCGCGAGAACGACCTGGGGCCCTTCGAGGCGGCGCTGCGGGGGCGCGGGCTGCCACCCGCCGCAGCGGCGCCGGCCGAGGACGCGCTGGACCTCGGCCCCTTCGAGGCGGTGCTACCGAAGAGGCGCTGCCAGGGCAGTCGACGCAGCTGCGTCGTCCGTCGTCCTCGTCCTTGTCCGCGTCATCGGTTTTGTCGTCGTCCTTGTCGCCGTCGTCGTTGTCGTCCGTCGTCCGTCGTCCGTCGTCCGTCATCGTCCGTCGTCCGTCGTCCGTCGTCATCCGCCGTCTGTCGTCCGTCGTCCGTCGTCCCTCGTCGTCGTCGTCTTCGTCCGTCGTGTCTCGTGCGTCGTGAGTCGTCCAGCGGAGGCTTTCGGGGATTTCGTGGTGGCCATGAACAACAAAAAAGGTCATGAGGGAAACGGGTCCTAGACCCCGGGGCGTTCGACAAGTTCTTCATCCTAAGTTGGTTTTCAATTGTCTCTGGGTCTGTAGAGGGCTTAGGCAGCCCGGCAGCGGTGACAAACTTCCATGCTTCGGTTGGTGCACTGGAGGCCCAGACTTTCGACCAGCTGATTCTTTGGCTTCGCCGCACCGCCGGCCCCTTGGAGGAGAGTCGCTGTTGCGGCTTCTGGGTGCTGCGTGGCTTATGCTTGTATTAATCGAAGGCGCCTACGGCGAGTCACCGCCGCCCCCTGTCCCTTTGGAAGCGCCTATATGGCCGACAGCTGGGCCAGAGCTTGGCCAAGATATCGGGCCAGTTGTTCCCCGAGTCGGTTGGGAAGCCTTCGGGGAACGCGTGGGGGAGCAATAGGAGGAGGATCTGGAGAGGGAGGAGGATGATGATTAGGAGGATGATGAGGATGAGGATGAAGATGATGGGGAAGGAGGAGGACTAGGAGGAGGAGGAGACTTCTTGGGAACCGTGTTGCGAGGCCTCTTGGGAGGCTTCTGCTGAGCTTCCTGGGAGCCTTTTGGAGGCCTCTTGGGAGCCTCCCTGGGCCTCTTGGGGGCTTCTTGGAGGCCTTTGGGGGCTTCTTGGGGGCTTCTTTGGCCGTCTTAGGGCGTTCCCGACCCGTCTGACACCGTCGGAAGCCGTCTTGGGGGCCTCTCTCAATCGACTTGGGGCTCTCTTGGGACACTTCAGGGCCGTCTTGGATAGTATCTTGGACGTCTTGGAGGTCGCCGTCTTGGGGCCTCTTGGGCCGTCATGCGGCCATCTTGGAGGCCTCTTGGGTGATCTTGGGGCGACCTGGGGGACCTCTTGGGCCGCCTTGGGCCTTCGGAAGGCCGACAAGGCGCAAATGCCCAAATCCGGCAAACACTTAAGGGAAATCAGTGATTTTGGTCTCGTCGGGTCCTCATGAAGGAACTCTTGGAGGCCTCTTGGGCCGTCTGGGAGGCCTCGTAGGCGCCTCTTGGGCCGTCTTGGGCCATCTTGAGGTCATTTTGGGCCGTCTTGGGTGCATCTTGGGCCGTCTTGGAGGCATCTTGGAGGCCATCTTGGCCGTCGTGGAGGCCATCTTGGCCGTCTCGGAGGCCTCTTGGGTGCTTCTTGGGGCAGTCTTGGGGGCCTCTTGGGCCGTCATGGGCCATCTTGGAGGCCTCGTGGGCGATCTTGCGGGCCTCTTGGGCCGTCTTCAGCCGTTGGAATGCCGAAAAAGCGCACATGCTAAAATCCTGCAAAAGCCTAAGGGAAATCAATGAATGTGGCCTCTTGGAGCCCTCCTGGAGGACTTCTTGGAGGCCTCTTGGGCCGTCTTGGGCCGTCTTGGAGGCTTCTTGGAGGCCATCTTGGCCGTCGTGGAGGCCATCTTGGCCGTCTCGGAGGCCTCTTGGGTGCTTCTTGGGGCAGTCTTGGGGGCCTCTTGGGCCGTCATGGGGCCATCTTGGAGGCCTCGTGGGCGATCTTGGGGGCCTCTTGGGCCGTCTTGAGCCGTTGGAATGCCGAAAAAGCGCACATGCTAAAATCCTGCAAAAGCCTAAGGGAAATCAATGAATGTGGCCTCTTGGAGCCCTCCTGGAGGACTTCTTGGAGGCCTCTTGGGCCGTCTTGGAGGCTTCTTGGGCGTACTTGAAGGTATCTTGGGCTCTCTTGTGCCGTCTTGGAAGCCATCTTCGACCATCTTAGGCGAACTTGAGGGCCATTTCGGGCCATCTGAGCCGTCTTGGAGGCTATCTTGGGCCATCTTGGAGCGGGACAGGCATTGACATGTGCAGTTTCTGGTCCTTTCTTGGGCCGAAGCGCCAGGAGGAGTTCTTTTGGAAAAGAACCAAAACCAATACCGAAAGGGTTCATCACGCCAGGCACCCCTGTGATGAATCAACAGGGGCGGCAGATATCGAAGACGCCTGCGGCGAGTCACCGCCGCCCCCTGCCCTTTTGGAAGCGCCTATGTGGCCGAACGTTGAGGCCAGAGCCCTGCCCAGCTATCGGACCATGTGTTCCCCGAATCGGTTTGGAAAGCCTTCGGGGAACACGTGGTGGAGGACGGGGAAGAGGAGGAGGGTGAGGAATGGGCGTGTTCGAGGCCCCTTGGGGGCTCTTGTGAGCTTTCGGAGGCGTCTTGGGGCCTGCTGGCCGAAGGTTGGGTCAGACCCTTGCCAATTTTTCGGAACGTTCCCCGAATCGGTTTGGAAAGCTTTCGGGGAACATGTGGAGGAGGTTGGGGAAGAGGAGGAGAGTGAGGAAAAAGGGGAAGGGAGGAAGAGTCCTCTTGGGAGCCTCTTGAGGCACTCTGGGGCTCAATTGGGCCATCTTGGCGGTCTTGGAGGCATTTTTGTTTGGACCGTTATGGAGGCCAAATTGGAGTGATCTTGGGCTCTCTTGGTGCCATCTTGGCCATCTTGGACGCATCTTGGAGGCCATCTTGGGTCATATTGGCCGTTTTGGAGGCGTCTCGGGACAGTCTTGGAGGCCATCCTAGGCATCTTGGGCTTTGTTGGACGCCGAGCTTGACCAAGCCATCGGGCGATGTGTTCCCCGAATCTTGCCTCGACGCCTTCGGGGAACACTTGGGGGGAAAAGAGGATGAGAAGGAGAGGGGAGAAACAGCAGGAGGCAGCAGGAAACCTCCTGAAAGCTTCTTGGGGCACTCTTGGGCTCTTGGTGCTTCCTTGGAGTTTCCTGGGGACCCCCTGAAGGGCTCTTGGGAGGCCTCGATCGCACCCATGAGCAGGGCCGCGGCCCCATTCGGCATTCCGCAGAGCGCTGGGAGTACCGTCAGCTTGCAGGCCAGACCCCAAAGCATCAGGATGGGCCCTCAGCTCCACCAAGCCTTGCAGGCCACATCGCCCTTTGCATCTCCGCGTGCTGTTGCGGGGCAACCTGACACTACGGGCCATGAGGCTGCCCGGAAGGGCAGAGAGCTTATTGGGAGAGGAATTGACGTTCCGAACGCCAACGGGATTCCACCTTGGGAGTATGTTCCAGATGCTAATCCATGGCCGGACCATCCAAATAGATATGGATACATACCAGCGTGTTCAGCCATCCGATATATGATCTGACGGCTGCTGAGAGGCCTGTGGCACCACAAATGGACGCGCCCATGTTTCCTGCGCAGACGACGGGCACCCCTCGGGTCGGCATTCAACCCGAGAGCCCGTACGTTCGGGCGACAGCCGACGATTTCTATGGGTCCCAGCTGACGCGGGGAGTTGGATACGAGGCCTGCATCCCAGGCGAGGTGCCCCACTATGGGTACTTGGCAGCCCCCATGGACCAAGAAGTGAATCAACAGGGTCCAGAGCTGGTGGCGCCTACATCGATGGGAGAGCTGCGTCCCGAGATATTGGCCATCCACGAGGTGCAGCAGGCCAACCTCTCAATGCAACTGGCTCGCAAACGACGTTTTCAGGAGCGACAGCTACGCCGCATGATGAATCGTGCGGGGGCGCCCGCTGCTCCTGTAGCTGCAGGGCAGCCCGCTATGAGTCTTTCAACAGCGGTTGCGATGGGATCGATGCCTGGTGGGCCACCAATGGCACTTGCAGTCCCGCCTAGCCGATATGAGATGGGAGAATCCACGCCTGATCGACAGACGCGCATCAGGCCGTCATCAACGCCACCGATCATAAGTGACGGTGATTCACCAAATGTGCGGTTTGCCTTGAAGGGTTTGTATACCACGACAAGGTGTGGAGGCTTCAGTGTGGCCATATTTTTCAAGCGCAGTGTTGGGATCGTGTAGCACGCGCACGCGTAGAGCGGCAACTGGAAGGTGCATCATGCGAGGCACCATGTGCCATTTGCAGAGGTGCAGGCCTCATCACAACTGAGTTCCATTATGCCTTCGCCAGGGGGCATAACGCAGCGGATCGACATGAAGAAATACACTCCGCGGGGCAAATGAACTCAGAGACCTCCGTGCAGAGCTGAACCGCATCGCGGCGATGATGACAGGCACTACAGCTATTGCAGAATCCCCAGCTGCATCTGCGGGGTAACCTGCTGCACCTCCATATGTGTGGCCAAACCCAACAGCTACGATGCCAGCCACAGAAATGCAGATGCCTCTGGTAGCCGAACCAGCAGCTACTGCAAGGACACCTGCTGCAACGACGCCGGCAGGGTTGCCTGCCAAAGAGGCATGGCTGAGGCGCATGGAAAGAGCCACTGAGGCAAGCTCGCAATGGCTTAGTACGCCATATGGCATGGTGCGGGGAAACCCGCTGCACTGGCGCAGGACAGAGCCCAGTGAGCGCGCGCGGCGGCGCCAGTGCCATGTCTGAGCGAAACATGCTGCACGCGGTGCTGATGGTTAACGCAGATGGCCAGATAGCCGGGAGTGCCGGCGAGGACACCTTTGAGAACATTCCATTTGCTGAACAGCATCCCTGCACGTATGACGAGCACCATTCTTCCTGGACCATCCAGAAGCATCCTATCACAGAAGAGGAGGCCAGGGGCTACATGAACGTCTTTACATCTATGACGAGGGATCAGTGGGTGTTGGGCCCAAGGCGCCGTAAAAGGCATGCGCGGCACAACGCTGTCCGCTGTGCCGGGCATATTCGGTGAACGACATGAGTTAGCCCTGACAGCGAACAGTGGAAACATGGTTGATGGAATGCCGACTGCCCCACTGGACATTTGCAGCAATAGTTCTCAACATCATTGGTTTG